TTCAATCCCTTCTCTGAAATAAGCAGTTTCCAGATTTGATATTTTGTTATACAGTGCAAGTGTGTGATAGATTTTTCAGAGGCTGATGCTGGAAGGCAAGAGGCTGGGGAGGCAGGCCCCTCTTCCCAGGCTCTGCAGGAGGCAGGAGGGAAGCTGGAGCATCCCAGGACCTGCTGCCCGAACCAGTGGCAAAAGCAACAAACTTTGCAAGTCACACTCGGGCTGCGCCAATGGCAGGCAGCAACCGGGTATCTCCTGTTCCTAGTGCTCATTCCTGACTCCAAGGCTACCTGGAGATAGTGGGGGTATAATCAGGGGAATAAAAAGGGGGGCTGGGTTTTCCCCCTCCCCTCCAGCTTTAGTGAAAGTGTTACAAAGTGAGTCAGGCGACTGAGGATCATCTGACTGAACTTTCTTGAAACGACACACATTCTTGTCTGCGGGGAGCTCAATTTTTGCCTCCTTCCCCCTCGCCCCACTCTCCCTTTCCTCCAGCACATCTTAGTTTCTGGGAAGGTGGTTCCTCCTTTCCATGTGGGGGAAAGAGGACTGACTGTCGGCTCTGTGTTAGCGTGGCCCTGGCACTGTCTTTGCCAGGCATCTTGCTAGCCTGAAAATCTGGAAGGTTGGGTTATAGATTCTTGTTTCTGTCTTTGTACATTTATTTTCCTCAAACTGCTTTTTTTCTCCTTTGCTGTTTAATAATTGTACACTTCATTGTCTTCTAACCAACGATCTTGACCAGCCTCTCAAAAATACCCACTGCTTTACACATTTTATCTCCTTGATGCCTTAGTCCATATATATTCACTGTTGACTTCATTAAAATTATATAAAGTGCCATTCTAGGTTCTTGGATGTCCATCTTTTTATTTTTCTTGCAGCTTCTATTTCTATGATTATTATTGCCATTATTCCTTTCCAGGAATTTCTATATGATGTTGATAAGCATCATCATATTTAGTGTTATCAGCAAAGACACAAGCTGAAAAGTGACATCTTTTCCATGAATCCAGGAAAGAAGAAAAATCCACTCAGTTCAGATAAATCCTGGCAATTCCCAAAGGAAAAGGCATTGGATACGTGTTTGATGAGAAAGAAAATGAAAAACGGGGAAGGGGGGCTCTTCTACCTGCTTCTCAAAACCAGGACATTGCTCAGTCAGATTAAACCCAACTGAAAACATTGACAAGCAACCAATTTACAGCATGTTTTCTCACAGATTATTTGGGGAAAAAAAGGACAGGTAACAGTCAAAGTTACAGAAGCTGTAAGCAATAGAAAGATTTGATGTTAAGTGTGCAGGGTCTGAGCTAAATGCCTTAAAATGTGCAATTCAACTTTCCACTTCGGAGTGCGGAGGCTTCTTCCAAATTGGTGGCTAGGCGTAGGGGAAATGGTTGCCATGTCATGACTGTGCACCCTCCTGGTGCTCCATTCCACCTGCAACTCCCGCCCCGCCCCAGGGACTCCCTCTCAGCTAGCACCCCAGGGGTTCCCAGGAAGCCAGGATCCCACTCTTTTCACAGAACTGGGTTGTGGCCTGACCTCACTGCTGGGGCAAGGCTGGTCACCGGTGGCAAAATCCTGAAAGGGTTGGAAGGAGGAAGGCAAGAAGAAACAAACACTTTAAATAGTCTTCCTTGCAAAAGAACACTTCTGGGAGCCTTGCTTTAAATCTCATTCCTCCCTCTCTCTCTCTCTCTCTCTCTCTCTCTCTCTCTCTCTCTCTCTCTCTCTCTCTCTCCTCTGTCTCTCTCTCTCTCAAAAAAAAGACTATTTAACATAAGAAAAAAAAAGCCTCCTTGACACAAAGCTTTTGTTATCCAGTTGATCAGCAACGTGCTTTAGATACTTGTAAGAGGGGGAAAAAAGCCCCACAACAGACATTGATTTTAGAAAATCAATAACCAACATTTAATAAAAGGAACAGAGGAAACACAAGAGAGGAGAGGGGGACATTAGGTGTAATTTTAGTGTCTACTAAATTACCCAGAGATGGAGAAGGGGAAGTCTCCTGTGTAAGGACCACCTTAAATAATGCCAGGCACCAGAGTGAAGAAAAGATTAAATTAAAATACACACACATACACACACACTTAAAAAGAGGCAGCCTGAACTGAATGTTGGGGAAACAGCTTCGAATATATTATTGTACTTGTTTTTTGTAATACTAAGCCAAGCAAATAGATCAAAGACAGTACAAAGAGGAAAGGCAGGGTAACGTAACGAACAGTTTCTGACTAAAATTCCTCTATCACTCCCCCATATGGCTCGACACCTCCACCACAACAAGCAAAAGACACACACACACACACACACACACACACACGAGAGAGAGAGAGAGAGAGAGAGAGAGAGAGAGAGAGAGAGAGAGAAACATCATTTGTCTCTAATCAAAATTCTCTCGTCTTTGTGTTTTTTCCTCCTCTAGCACCCCACACTGCGCCCCCAGCTGCCCCCTCTCCGCGCCGCGCAGCATTGGGACAGGCCAGGGGCGCGCACAATTGTCTTCTCTAGAGGAAAGTTCCTCTAAGTGGGTCCTGGCGGTCCCGGCAAGGCGCGGGCTGGGGTTGCGGGTGGCCGGACAGGCGTTACGACCCGCGCCCAATTCGGGAGCGTCTACGCGGCCCAGCGCCGGTTGATCTGGCTGAGAGCGAAGGGAGCGAGAAGTTTCCTTTCCGAGTCTGGGCTGGCGCTGGTTAGCTTGTTTGTTTTGAGGGGTTGGGTTTTTTTTTTTTTTTTTTCTTTTCTTTTCTTTTTAAACTCAGTATCCTCCGTCAGCTCCCGCCGGCACCCCCTCTAGTCCCCAGTCCTCTCCCCTCCCCCAGGCGCCTTCCGCGCACTTGCCAATCACTTTTCTCTTTTATTCCCACGATTTTGTTTGGGGGTAATACCTAGGGGGTCTCTCTCTCTCTCCTTCTCTCCCCCCCCCCCGCGTTTCACTCTCTCTTCCCTCCCCCACTCCCCCTTTCTTTCTTAGCCTCTCTCCAAGATGGACCTACTAATCTGTCACCCCCTCCCTTTAAACTCTCACCTCTGGTCTGTGTGTCTCCTCGCACCCCCTACTCCTTCCTCTTTTCTGACTCAGCCTGGATAACGGGCTCCTCCTGACCATGTAGAAACTGCCTGGTAAAGTCTCGCTGAGCCCCGAGACTCCTTCATCCCCCGGCGTGGGGGCCAGAGCCTATGGCAGAGGAGCCACTGGTCCCCTAGTCTGCACCGACCCCACCGGATCCCGAGCGGGGCGGCCGAGTCCCTCCCACCCTGGAGTCCCGGCGCGCCCGGCCGGGCCGGGCTGCTCGCGGACCGTTACTTGGCGCTCGGAGAGGCGGCCCGGCGACTCTGGCAAGAAACTTTAAGCATTGCTGAAGCACATCCCCGGGTCCCCTCTCCCGTCCTCCCAGTCCCTCTGCCACCCTCACCTCCGCCCCAGGATCTTGCATGACCTGGCGCCCAAACCCCCACCCTGACCGCGCCGGACGCTCCAGCTGCCGGGCCAGGGACCCGGCGGGCCGGGAGCTAACCGAGCGGGAGGCGGAGGCGAAGGAGGGCGGAGGCTGGGGCGCGAGGGGCTAGTGGGGCTGGGGGCACGGGCCCCTGCCAGACCCCTGAGCTTGGAGCCTCCCGGTGCCCGACCCTCACTTTGCCCGGCACTTCCCCAACTCCCCCCAAGTCCAGACGCCGCGCGCGCCGGGCTCCGGCGCCGGCCGCGGAGGGAGGCTCGCCCGCGAGCCCCGGGCGCCGCCGCCGCCGCCTCGGTTCCTTTTCCCTTTCCCCCCCTTCTCCCTGGGTTTCGAGCCGCGGAGTGGCCCGGAAAAGTTTGGTTCGGGCCGCTTCTTACCGTTTTTCCTCCTGGGATTGGCTTGTTTGCGCCTCTTGCACCGGGGGCCATCCGCCATGATCGGCTGCTTCATTGATAAGAGCGGATCAGATGGCAGTTCGCATGGACTCGGCGCCCTGCTTCGGCAGCACGCAGGCTCGATCTAGCAACCAAACACAGCGACAATGTGGGCATCGCCCGCGCCCATTGAAACGCGCGCGGGCGGCCCAGGGGAGCCGGGCCAGGGCCCCGGTGAGCACCCATCCGAGCCCCCCAACGCCAAAGCGAAACTTCAACGGCCCCCTCCCCGCCCCCCACCCCCAGCCTTGGCCCTGAGGCGCTTTGTGTTTGTTACTGTTTGGTGTGTTGCACTAGCGAGGGGATCAGAGAGACAAGAATTACATCTTCAAAATGAGTCATAACTCCTGACCGTATGAGGGAATGCACACGGCGGTACAGTAAGACTGCTTGACTCAGGGCTAGGCGGACCCTTTCCTCCGAAAAGTCCTCAGCCCGGCTCGGGAACTTGGGGTGAGGCGAGGCTTCCTTTCGCTCTCATCTTTTCTCATCTCCCCCGCACCCCCCATTCCCAAGAGGAAAGAAACAAACAAACAACGCGAAACAGCCTCTGGATGAAGCACACTCTGGTAAATTGATAATAGTAATTATAGGAAGCCCACTCACCCCGCGCCCCCTCCCCTCCCCTTTTGGAGTTTATAGAGGCACTCTTTTCTCCCCCCCCACCCTTCGCCCCCAAATTAAGATTTCCCATTTTATGCGGCAATAAGAAATATAATTATAAGCCTCTTTGGACACAGCCCCCACCACCACCACTTTGATAATATTTACTTAAGTATTTACCCCCATCTCACTCACACACATGCTCCCCCACCACACTGGTTCTCTTAAATAGTTCCAGTAGATTTCTTTTCCCCCTCAAGAAAGGAAAGAGAAAGTCCAACCGCTACGGCAATACTTTTAAGCTCTACTAAATGATTGTATCCTTTCTGGCTTCGAAACTTTTGTACCTAAAAATCGAGAGAGGCGCTGCATTTTTTCAGCTGAAACTGTCAAAACTTGGAGAAGGGGAACATCGGAGGCAGGCAGGAGAGTAGAATCCTGAAACTCAGTGGAGGTTGGGAAGATGCTGTGCCTCCAGGATTAGTTTAAACAGGGGGCTATAAAAGATGTAACAGATGCAAACTGTAACACAAGGGCCATTAACCCTTTCTCTGCTGCCGAGAACTCTCAGTCCCACGCCCCGCACCTATTGTCTCCTGTGCTAGAAGCTTTGCAGAAAACCTGGAAAGTGAGTATCAGTTTCCACACATTTGCTAAGAAGGGTGGGGGGTGGGGGTTTGAGCAGAGAAGGGGAAGTGGATGTTTTAGAAAGCACCTTAAATTTACCTAAGCACACACAGTATAAGACTTTTAAGTTTGACTCATTTTTATCATTTTTTTGCCTGTTCTATTAATTTAAATTGTTAGGGGAAATCCTAAAATAAAGAAATGGTCACACAAGTGTCTAGGATGAAACAGCTGGCCTGTCTTATTCATGGTGAGACTTACACATGATTGCATATAAGTATGTTTAATAAAGTTGCTAGTTTTATTAGTTTGTGTGTGTGTGTGTGTGTGTGTGTGTGTGGTGTTTGTGTGTGGGGGGAGAAGAGGGCATTTGTGCTGTAAACTTTATCTCTGACTATTAATCCTCACTCTGGAGTAAGTAATCTTGCCCTCATCATTGTAGGGGGAGCATTTAAAAGTATATAATAGGTGGGAGATAAACATATTTATGTTAGCGGGTTAACCACTGTTTCTGGGAACTCCTGCTATTTATTTCTCTTGACTTTTCAGTGCCTAAGTAAGGAATGGAATATGTGTGTGCATGAGTCTATTAAATCTATGTCTATGTTACTATGCCATTTAAAATACAATTTCAAAAGTTATCTTAATTTTAAACACTGATATCCTGACAGTAGTTTTCTTCCCAGCTGTAGTGACCCCCCCACACACAGACTACTTTGGTAAACGACTCAAGTTCCATGAGGACTTTCACTTCTTTATTTATAATCACAGAAGTGAGGTGTTACTTCACACACACACACACACACACACATACACACACACAAAGAATGAAATAAAGAAATGAAACTCGCTAAGCAGACAAAAACAGTCAACTTTCTGCTTAGAAAACAGCCTTCTCCGGTGGGAGAAGATGGACTGCCATGTCTAAGAGAAAGACTTGTCCCCGACTTTAGTAGGTCTGTATCGATTAAGTTTTATAATTATTAACAGGTATTTGCCAAGTTTTAATTGCTGAATATAATGAATTGGAATTAGATGTGAAATTAGAGCAGCACCTCTCCCCTTGATGAGCTTTTATTCCATCCACATAGTTCTCAATAAAACTTTTCCTAGGCTGGGTAGCAAAAGGCACCTTTTATTACCTGAATGGACAGGTACAGGGGAAAATATTTGGGGGAGGAAAGAAGATAAAAAGAAGGACAGTGTGCGAAAGACCAAGAGAAAGCAAAGAAGCCACTCTTGGGAAAAGCATGCCATAAAGGAGCTAAGCCCACCTGAAATTCCTACCCACAGGCACCCCTTCTCACTTCAGACTCTCGTCTTCACTCAAAATGAGAAAATTTTAAAAAGAGGATGGGGGACGAACACACCAAAAAAAAAAAAAAGAAAAAAGAAAAAAGGATAAAAGGTTTTTAAAAGGCGGGGAAAAACCTACCTGCGAAGTCTTGTTTGTAGTTTTGGCCAGAAATGGTGAGAAGAAAAAGCATGAAGAAGCCGCGAAGTGTGGGGGAGAAAAAGGTGGAAGCGAAGAAACAGCTCCCGGAGCAAACTGTACAAAACCTCGCCAAGAGTGTCGGGAGGCAGGACCGTTATTCCTGCGGAGCAGGTTAGAACTGATCTCTTTCGGCCACTCCAGGAAACACAAACCTGGGGACGGACTGACGTGTTACGCCTCTTCTAATGACATTTTTTTCTTTTTCTTTTCTGTAGGAGAGAGAGGACAGACCCTGAAACACGCGCCACCTATCTTTGTGGGGAGGGATAATTGAAGCGCCCTGAGCGTGAGCATCATGTGAAAACGTGATCGCCAAGTTTCTCTCTGGGAAAGGATCTGGGATAGATTATACCTTGAAGTCTCCGCAAACGCTTATAGTGGAAGAAATGAAATTCCACCTCCCTCCCTTCCTCTCTCTCCCTCCCTCTAGCCTCTCTCCCTCCCTCCCTCCCTTCTCCACGCCCCCCCCCCCCCCCCCCCCCGTCAAGCCTTTGGCATCATTATCCTCATCACTAAATCCTACAGAGTACAGGGCGGAAAACGGTGCACACCATTCACAGAACTGGAGAACTCCAAGGGGCGAAAGTTAAAGGGAAAGATCCCCGGGTTCTCAATCCAGATCGCCTTTTATACAGATACCTCTAAAGACCAGATTTGAGATGCACACCAAGTTATGTGGCTATCTCGGCCCGGTTTCTAAAACTAAATTCTTTGCTTTTCCCCTCTTATTTTATTTTATTTTATTTTTTAGATGCGAGAACGGGGGTGGGGGGGGGAGCTTCATTTGAACTGCATCTCAGGGCGTGTTTGTGTGTGTGTGTGTGTGTGTGTGTGTGCGCGCGCGCGGGCGAGCATGTGTGTGATGAATTTGTGCACTGTATCCCGATATCATAAAGTACTTTGACATTTTAATAAAGGGTTTCTAAGTAAATTAACATAGGATGCTGGGTTGACCAGTGTTTGGATCTCTCTAGATCTCACCGAGACCTCACTACAAAGTGAGGGACTGTGCACAGGGAGACAGGAGGTAAAAGGAGAAAGGCCACAGAGGAACTTAGCAGGGAAGGGAGAGCGCGATATTAAACGGCATGGGGTCTAAGTTTTGGAGTATATGTTTTTTGATATTGCAATTAAAGTAAAATTAAAAAGAAAAGACTCCACCTTTGCTCTGAAGGGATTGGTTATGCAAATATGGAAGGGATTTCCTGGAGAATACAGCTTTCTACTGTATGGTTAATTAAATAATCACTCAAAAGCTTCCAACGTGACGCTTCTGTCGTAATCCAATCAGGTTACATAGGTCCTAAACAAGAAAGATATTTTCCACATCTGGAAGTCAGCAATTTAGCAAGTACTGCACATTATTAACCAATTCAGAGCCCACTTCCCAGGGGATTTTTTTTTTTTTTTTGAAGTTTAAGTGTTCTTAACCAATGCTCTGCTGTTTTGTTAATCAAAAAGCTGGTTTACACTGCACATAATTGGAACTAATATAGAAGTAAATAAAGACAGTCAAATTTGAGGATGCTGAGCACAGGCATTTATCGGAAAAGGAAGAAATCTCTTAGCCTCTGATGGTTCAGTCTCAATTTCTTAAAATACTATGAGTTTTTTTTGTTTGTTTTTTAAAGAGTGAAAGTACTTCAAAGTTTAGAGCACAAATAAACCTCCAGTCCCACAACCTTTGGGCTCCTTTGGAAGGTAAAGGTGGAGGTGTGAAGAGGACCTGTGAGCTGCTTTACACCAATTTTTTTTCTGTTTTAATACTGTAAAATATGTTGCATTTCCACGTTTTCAGTCTGATGAAATCTGAAACAAATAATACCCTGATCCAACACTAGGCTTTTACTTATATTAAGATAAACTGCTTTGAACTGTGCTTTGAATATGTGCCTAAAGCAAGACTTTGAATGCAAGAGTCATTGGCAATTGCATTCAAAGGAGGGAAAAGCCACCACATAGGTTGCCATATCCACACTCCCAGAGGTACACGTCTTTGTATTTTGTATGTTTATTTTTCTGAGAGGGGGTAATAGCCACCCAGCATGAAGACAGATCTTGTTTTAGGATGTAAGAAAGTAGGTTTTCACAGTTGGTTCCATATTCACCTCTTTCCTAATTTGAGTGGGGTTTATCACAAGGAGAATTGTTGGATAAATTAATCTCTTCCTTACCCTGTGACAGATAAAGTACCGAAGATCTATAGGCACCTGAGGTCTTCAGTCTAAAAAAAATATTAATAAAGAAAAATTAAAGATTTCTACCATGGATCAGATACATTCTTAGTATTATACTTTACATTGCTCTTACTATTATACAGCTATACTATGATTTATCAAGTTCCTCATTTGAGATTTATCACTATCATTTTTCTTCCTCCTCCTTTTTTCTTTTTTAAAAAATTGGAGTTCAGCTTTCTATAGAAGTTTGCCTTTCAGTCATCCCTCTCCCATTCTGGGGAAAGAAGGAGCCCATTGCATGGAGTGATTTCAGGCAATACTGCTCTCCAGGAGCCTAGGTAGCCAAAGAAGGCTTACAACCCAGACACAGTCACAGGCATAACCATAGGTCAAAGGATCTAATCTAATAGCTAAAAAAAAAAAAAAAAAAAAAAAAAAAAGAAAAAGAAACTCTTGTCTTTATTATGTATATTAAATGTCTTGTTACTTAGGATCTGACTTTTAAGAAAAAGGCTATTAAGTATTTCCACTAAAAACACCTAATCATCTGATTACCCTGGACTCAGTAATCGTTCATGTGGCAAGCAAGCAGCACCCACCATTCAGCACTAGAAGTTCTGACATGCAAGTATTTGAAATGGAGTAAAAAGAGAAATGGGGGTCGGGATGGGGGGAATTCCCACAAGGTGGATCATGGATGGTGGTACGGGAAAGGTCTCCGCCAGGGCTGAGCGCTGGGCTAGGTTGCTCATTGCTGCTGACTGGCACGCCCCTTCCCAAGTATCTGGCAGAAAGTATTCCAACCGACGCATAGGCAGTGGGATCAGAGGAAGCCGGAATATAAATTTGTTCGGATTACTCCTTCAGTTCGAAGGCCAGGTCGGGACAAAGGAGATCGTGGGATCAGAGGGATACAGGAACGCAGGACACAGGGAAAAGTCGAAAGAGGACTAGGGGTTGCTAGCTTTCAGCTCCTAACACAGCAAAACAAGTCTTGCAAATGAATCGCTCCTTACCGGTCTGTTTTCCCCATTAATAATCCACTTCGAGATTAGCGCAGATGAAGGGGATTAAGACAGCAGATACATGCAAATGTGAAGTAATATTGCAATCGACATTGGAGGGGGAAAATAATTCTTTAGTGTTTCCTTGGGTAGAACAAACTGCTTTCTTCAGGATTCCCTCCACCCAGGCAGAGAATGAGAAGGATGCACTGTTGTTTTCCAATTCCCTGAAGCCAGAACCTGGTGGCTGTCCCCCCTTTCACCTCTCAGTCTGTCAATTTCCTCAACTTTCACAACCTCCCCCTCCACCCCTCATTCTTCTTGCCGGCCCAGATGCCCGACGAGGTACAACGTTTCTGCCCTTGAACACACAGTCTGTAGAAGGAATTCGTATTTGGCCACAGCTAATGAATTTTTTAAAAAGCAAATTCTGTTTATTTTGTACCATGTGGAGAAAATAAAAAAAGGAATCCTTTCTCGTTTTGGAACGAAATTGATCTTCATCTAGAGGAATTATCTCGACCCCGTGTTGTTACCCAGGAGGTGGGCAACTTCTTTGAGAGTTGCAAGCAAAGGGTGATAAGGGGGACCCCTGGATTGAGTGTGTGGGGAGGGGGTGAGGGATTGCAGGGGTCTAAACAAACCAAACGGTTTTCTCACGTGCAAACTCCAATCCAATCCATTCGGAGTTGAGACTAGGATAGGAGGGGGAAAATCTATTAAAAAAGAAGAAGGAAAAAAAAAATAGATCGGGAGCATCTCTGTTGAGAAGCTCTTTCAAACAAAACCAAAGAGAACCAGAGAACCTCAGACTGTCCCTAACATCCCTGCTGCGAGGCCCGCGGGCTGTGGAATCTCGCACGTCACCTGGCCTCAGCAGGGTGGCCAGCTGAGGGGTTTATTTTATTTTATTTTTCGAAGTAAAGGTTAAATCTCAGCTTCTGTTTTTTTTTTTTTTTTTTTTTTTTTGCCAACGTCTACACTGACAGGAACCAGCAAACTTCGGGACCAAATGAGCATCTTAATTTATTGATGCAAAACAGGTCTGCTTGTTGTCCCCAATTCTCGGCGCGCTCTGTCCCCCTCCCCCGCCCCGAGTTTCGGTCCCTCCATCTGATCGCTGGGAGAGGCCCGTTTGCACAGGCTGCGGAGCACGTTGGCTGGGCTGGGGTGGGGGGGTTCGGCCCTCTCCAGCCCTCCCTCTCTCCCTCCCCCAGACCCGTCCCCGCCCTGGAACCCCACGACCCCCGCCCTGCCGCCCGGTCAGCTGACCTGGCTCGCTCGCCTGCTCCCCGCCCGCCGCCCTGTTTCCGGTCCCCGGGGTCCGCGAGCTGCGCTCCGAGAAGGAGCAGCAGCGGCCGGGAGGTGATGCTGGGGGCTGATTATCATGAGAAAGGCTGTGCCTGGAAAAGCCTCCTCCACGCGACTGTCAATCTCACTAAGGGGGAGGGGGGTGGCGGAAAGGGGCCCTGTGGGAGTCACCAGAAAACTTGGAGTAAGTTGGAGGCGACGAAGGCCCAAGGAGGTGGCTTTCGCCTCAACTTGGAAGGCTGGGGCTTGTGGGTGCGGACGCCAGCAGCATCGCCAGGGAATTGAAAACCAAAATCTCCCTCTCTCCCTTCCTCCCTCTTGCCCTCCTTTCTGCCCACCCTGCCCTTTATCCGTATTTTCTTGAAATGCTTTCCCAACTGCATTTCCTACATTCTCTTTTTTCTTTTTATATCCCTTTTGTAATCCCTTGTTTTCTTAACATTCCCTCTTCTTCCTCGCTGTGATTCTTTTTGTGTGTGTGTGTGTCTCCTTTATGTGTCCAGATTTATCATTTCGTTTTGAAAACATAAAGTTTAATATGCAATTAATCTACCAGCAGGAGGGCAGGGACACCTGACTAAAATAACTCCCGGGGTCTCAGAGACTACAAGTTCGCCAGGTGTCAGTGAAAAGTAAAATAATAATAAAAATAAATCAACACCTCAGTGATCATAATGGCTTATTATTCTGTTTTATCATATCAGCTCAGACTGATAATTGTTTTTTTTTTAAAGAGTTAATCTTCCTGGAGAACATGATCAATTCTTGGCATAGGATGATTCTTTAGAATCGAAGCTATGTGTAATATTTTCTTTTTTATAGTGATATTTTAATAAGAGTTAACAG